AAAAGCGGTAATCCGATACATCACAGAAAATGATATAACAACGGCATATCTGACCTTCATCAACAACACATTGACATTACCAACTGTGAGTGGATACAATCTCATTGATGAATGGGAGCTGGTTTATCATGAGTACTGAAAATCTTAACTATATGTAGATAAAAATGGAAATACCACATTTGTTAATACTGTTGACCATGCTACCATTTACTCTTGGTTGTATTCGTGATCCGTTGGATAAGGATGGACTCTGCTTGACAACGAAACCTCCTACTGTCATCCAAAGTGAAAGACCAACTCCGGTTGACATCCCTAGTGAAACATCACCACCAACAGATCATATCACTACACAACCACTTTACGATCAGACGAAACCAGGAAACGGGGATAACCCTCATTTGACAGACCCCAATCTTTATCTTTTATCTCTGATTGTTGTTCCTATAGTTGGTGCTGTTGTATATCTCATAAAACGTTCCAGCTGTTCGATGAGTGTTGACCCTGAAAATGATCCAAGAAATTTACAACATCAGTCTAGGTTAGATTTTCAGTTTATCTGTGGAATGGAACAAACTTCCAGAACACATCCGCTGCGTTCAGTCCTCTGTCAATTTTCGCATTGCTCTAAAGGCTCATTACTCTCAGCATAGATATTCTCTGACTGGAATTCCGAACTTTTCCGTTTGAGAAATTTTTTTCCTTGAAATTAATCCTTGCTGGTTTTTTTTCATCTAAATGTCCCGCTATTATCTGCAGAGGTGATTTCTTCCCTCGTCGATTTCATTCCTGCTTTTATACCTCGATATTTAGGTACTTGTTTCCCTTCTTCCCATGCTTCATCTTCCACTCTCCTCTCCCCATTTCCCCATTTTTCTTGCGATATTTATGTGGGAGACTTCCGTGATAAGCATCCATTTGCTTTTGGAGAATCCTTTTAAATAAATACAATACAATACAATTTTGATCCTATACCATTAACAGATGTGCTTGATACGATCAATCTACCAAAATCATCTCTTGACTGGGGTGCTGAGTGAAATCCAAGAAGACATCAAGAGCACTTCTGCCTTTGTTTCTTTCTTCTATGACCCAACAACGGTAGCTCCAACAACACTGGCAACACCGACACCACCGACAACACCGACAACATCGGGAACACCGACAACACCGACAACACCGACACCATCGGGAATTACATCGGGAATTACATCGGGAATTACATCGGGAACACCGACAACACCGGGAATTACATCGGGAATTACATCGGGAATTACATCGGGAATTACATCGGGAATTACATCGGGAATATGGTGGTAAATCACCCAAAGCTGAACCACCCGAAGTTGGCTCAGAAACCGACCCCCACATCAGTCCTCGAAGTGAGCCAAGATGGGGTAAGTGAAAAAGCTCAAGTTGGCTCACTTCCGATTTTCTCGGAGACAGCAAGTTGACTCACTTTTCTGGAACTGGGTTGAGCCAACATGGGATCAGTGGTTGGAGTTGTAAAATTAGTACTTGGAGGTGTAAAATTATTACTTGGGTGTCTATCCTTTAGTACAGTAGTATAGTGGGAGGGGGGAGACTTTGGAGGGAGGCCCGAAGGGCCGATCGAGAAAGTCGATTTTGGCTCACCTGGAAGGTGAGCCAGAACCCCCTCCCCCTATAATACTTCCAACGTCTGGATAATGTTCAACGCCGCGCACTGCGTATCATTGGCCCTGGTGCAATTGTCCCCAGTCTGGCTGTCCGCCGGACTGTTGCTGCTCTCTCGTGCATGTACAAATTGCATTTCATCACTGGTCCTTCTCAGCTACTTGCTGTATTGCCACCGCATCGCGTTTCTCCAGCCAACCCCAGAACCCGGAACGAGCACAATAATGCCACTAGCCACGCATATCAACTGTCAGACACGCTCCTTGTCTCAGCTCCATTCGTCGTGAAGCGGTCGTTCCCTTACTGCTGCTGTATTGGCGCATGGAACTCCCTTCCTGACAGGCTGCTGTCGCAGCGCCCACACAAAACACGTTTTCAGTCATTCAAGAAAAAGGTCTACCAACACCTGAGAGACAGCAACTGGTACTGGGCAACAGATTCCCTGTAATTTTTCGAGCTCGTCGCTTGCCGGACCCACTGATCCGCGTACCTGGCCTTGCTCAGAGTGCTCAGCTGTGTTTTGCATACATGAAAAAAACTTGTTATGATTCTTCTTTCTTTTCTCTGTTTATTCTTTTACCAGGCGTGGGCCATCCCCTGGACTATCAAAATGGGTGCCTTATTATTTTTCTGTTTTTTAGCTTGTTTTCTTTACACTTCTTTGTGCGAGTTTCGTATCGGATCTATTGAAAAAGTTCATAAGTTTTGGTTGATGGAATTGACATGTGCATGGTACATCAGTCCAACCACTGATAAATTTTTTTCATATCTGAACATGTATCATAGCTATGGTGCTCTTTTAATTCGCACTTAGTGCTTTTCGCGTCCCTCAAAATATGCTGAAAAAGTGCTCTTTTTTCAGTGAAAACAGGCAAAAAGTGCTCTTTTTTCAGTGAAGCATAGCCATGATACATATTCAGATATGAACCCAAGCTGAGAAATGAATACGCAATCTTCTATTTATGGGTCCATGAAAGGCAAAACAGGAAGTAAAGTTCAAAAAAGCCACTTTTTACAGCATTGTGTACACCGGTACAAGCTTCACCAACTAACTAATACTTGTTGCCCCCACAGGTGATCCATAATGGATCAAGCAGGTGCTGCATGATTGATTGTAGTGATCACGTGATGACAGACTGCATGACGTGTAGACATTGTACGTGTGCAGTGGAGGAGCTAGACACATACAAATGTAGCAGGGCTAGATAGGGGAAGTCCCTAGCCCTGGGACGCTGTGCCTGTGAGGCTGTGAGCTGACATGGACTAGAACTGTAAGAGTTAGTACAGAATTCACATGTACATGAGTTTACAGTACTACTTGTAGGTTAGTTGTAGGTCTAGGTACTCAGTTGCAAGTGACACGTGACTAGTGACAGTTAACTCTCATGCCACACAACAGAGACGAGCCTGTGGGGTGTCGCAAGTGTTTATTAAAGTAAGTAAAGTAAATTATCGTGTCCGTTCCCGAAGGGAACTCACGACGGCCGCTAACACCCGATAAACCCTAGCGGCAGATGCAGCGCCTAACGGTGGGGGTGAGTGGGTAAGTCTCACAACCACTGGAACAAGTGCCGAAAGCGACCCCATTAGCTGCATCCATGTACCCCTTGTGCCTGGCCACAAGTTCCCAGTTGACTGTGGGTAGCAGCACGGCTGGAAAAACCGCTCTCAGGCAGGACTTGAACCAGGTACCTCTCGTATCTCAATCATGGTCTTTGACCAACCCACTGTGCCTGCCTGTGTTTATACCAGCGTGAATAATCATGAGCCTGTGATCGGTAATCAAGTATGACGTACATGTATTCAGTATGAGGTTATGATTATAAATGATGTTCACATATCACACATCAGAGAGGCAAGGACAGCAGAAGCGACCCGCGGGGTCCTGCGCCGTCGCAACGGCTACGTGTACTACTAGGTTGCTATGGCAGCGGAACACTAAATCTTAGTACCCATGAATAGTTCAATGGTGCCGATGTGCGTGCACTATGCGGCGCCCATCGGGAGCACCCGTGCCTCCCATAAAGGTACCGAATGGCTTGCGACACGCAGGCTCTAGTAGTGCTGTGGCATGCCTGCGGGCCTGAGAATGTACGTGCGATATGCCCTGCTGGACCAGCGGCCTGCAGCCATCAGGGCATACTCTGGTGCGCCTCGGTCCACCATGTGTGTGGTTCCCCCAGCGCGAAAGGAATGGCTGCTGATGCTTGGACCTAGCACTTTGTGTAGGACAGCATTGATATCGTTCGGAGTGAGATGGCGACCATCCTGAAACTTGAATAGGGGTTGCTTGTCATTGCTCCATTTGCTGGACCGAACGTAAGCCTGCAGGGCTCGGACGGGACATAGTGCTGGGTCAGCGGGGCGATGCAGCGCTACCTCCCCGCCTGTTGTTAATTGAGACGTCTTCGTCCTCTGGAGCTGCAGAGAGGCCTCCTGCTAAGATAACCGGAGGTGTTCGCGCCTCAGCGTCTTGAGGCCGCCGGGACCGTGTGGTGAGAGCGACGTGTACTCACTCACACGCAGCAGCAGGCCGTGGAAGGCTGTCGTAAGAGCAGCCCATATCATTAGTCTGTCTGCCGGGGAGTGCAAGGACAGATCCAAGAACTGGCGGAGAGCCTTCAGCTGGTGGACGGTGATCGCTTGGCGCTGAGGGCGTGCTGACGGATGCCTGGGAAGCGACGCTCTCTACCTCTCTAAGCCCTTCAGCAGGGCTGTGATGCGGCTTGAGGATGTAACCCCGACCCGGCCTCCCTTGCGGAGGATGTGATATTTGATCGCGGCCAGGTAGACTCTCAGAGTGCTGGCGCTGACTGAGTGAGACATTGCGGCAGCGAACAGCAGGACGTCGCTCTGATCTGGGTGATGTGCGTCGCGGCGCATGCGACCCATGAACTCGAGAAATGCACGCCAGCCTGGGGCGTACGTGCGCTGTGTGCCAGTGGCTACCGAGTTGGCAATCAGGTGCTCTGCTCGCGCGGAGAGAGCGGCGGCTAGCGAGCCTAGGAGGACACAGGCACAAGCGCATGCAACACAAACGCACACACGCATACGCCCGCACACACGCATGTTTTCTAAACAGGCAGGATGGTACGGCGGCCGAGCTGCCGTGTATGCGTGCTGCGCCGGGTCGCCGAACGGTGGCCCGCTTCCCGGAACACACTGGCCCGGCGGCATGGCTGCGGATTGTAAGCAGGGGACCCGCGGGTTATGCTAGTGGGAAATCTCCCCCCTGACCTCGGCGGGGCGTTCCTGTACTGGTTTGGCCGAGGTTCACCCTCATCCTGTGGGGCTGATGCAAATACGACCCGAGAGCCCCCCCCCCCTCCCCCAGCCCCGTGGGGTGGGAGCCTCTGCTATTGGCCTAATCCATAGGTACTTAGCCTCGTGGGTGGACGCATGGGGGTGGCACGTAAGCGTTGGCTTGCGTAGTCTTGGCTTGCGGCGGTAAGCGATCCTCCGGCGGGAGGTGGACATCCGGCGGGATGTTATGCAAGCGGGGCTGGCGACCCTGGACAGACACACAGAACAACAGACAGCAGGTGGCGAAGCCTTGGTTCGGTGGAGCCGTAGCTTGCAGCGGCAGTGTCTGCAAGCGATTCTCCGGCGGGAGTTATAATTATGTTCGGCGGGATGTATTGCGAGGGTGGCTAGCGACCCTGGATAGACACAACGAACAATAGACAGCGGGCGGCGAAGCGTTGGCTCGCGGAGCCATTGCTTGCGGCGTTGGTGTCTGTAGGCGATCCTCCGGCGGGAGGTGGACATCCGGCAGGATGTTATGCGCGCGGCTTGCGAGCCTGGATATACACGCAGAGCACAAGACAGCGAGCAGGTCAGGCTCGCGGAGCCGTGCCCCTAGTATACGGGCAAACATACAACCTGCTAGGTAGGCTTAACACCCTCTACAATTTGCCTCGGTAGCATGGCAACACGGTGCCTGGCCCTTATTTTGTTTGCGCCATGCGGGGCACGCGTGTCGCGTACATATGGAGCGCCCCCGAGTACAGCGGTCGCGGCGAGTGAACGTACGACCGGCTGGGACGACCTTGGCGGCGAACGCCAGGTGGCCAACGAGGGATTAGAGTTCGTGTTTGGACGCTGATGACCGGATGGCCCAGGCTTCGAGGAGTTGCCGCAATGTACGGAGCTTCTCGGCTAGGAGCCGCAGCTCCCCTGCCGCTGAATCAATGTCGATGCCAAGCACTGTGAGGCAGGTGGCGGGGCCAACAACTTTGTCCGGGCCGTCTGCTGTTGGGACGCCCAGTTTTGCAAAGACCTGCAGAATAGTGGCTTTGTGGGTCGTGGCCGCCGAGGACGTGACAGACTCGGCTGCTGGATGCACTGAGACGAAGTCATCTAAATAGTGCTCCAGTGCAGGGATACTATAGTTCTTACGAAGGATCCATTCAGGGTCCAGGGTGGTAGCCAGGCAGTTAAACAGACTGGGAGCGGAGCGTAGGCCAAATGGCAGGACAGTGTCGAAATAGTAGTTGCCCTTCCACAACATGCCGAGGAGCGGCCAGTCGTCGGGATGCACGGGGCAGAGTCGGAAAGCGTGCTTCAGGTCCACCTTTGACAGGAAGGCTCCGGGGCCCGTCCTGCGCACGTGTTCTGCTATCGTGTCAATCGTAATTAGAGAGAAACGGTAGGCCTGCTTGTCAAAGAACGAATTGACGCTGTTCCCATCGGGGATGGACAGGTGCATGATGAGCCGGCGGCCGCCCGACTTCTTGGGGACCACACCTTCGCCAGAGGTGCGCAGACGGACGAATGGCGGCGCGTTGAAGGGGCCAGCGGTGTGGCCGCGACTGCAGTCCGTGGCCAGGTACTGGTCGACGACCTCGGGGTGTGCTGCCGCTGAAGACAAGTTCGGGCTGCGTACGGACACATACCGGGGTTCGGCGAACCCGATACGACAGCCGGCATGTAAATTGCTAATTAGAGAATGAACAAATGCAGGATTAGGGTGCGCCAGCAATTCAGTGTGTAATGCATCAATATTGATAGGGGTGATGGAGTGTAATGCAATGTTCATAGGGGTGTTAGGGGGTGGATGAATGCAAGAAAGTGGTGCCGGGGCTGATTGCTGTTCGCTCTTATTTCTTGGCTGGACAGGCTGACACGGCGTGCGAGCCTGAGCAGAAGAGGCAGGCGTGTCGAAAGCGACATGGGCCGCTGCAGGCGCCGTGATTGTAGCGACGGCAGATTTTGGTTGATTTAGTGCTTGCACTCTCTTTCGCCTGCTTGTCGCGAAAGGCCGAGGTGTGTGCTCCGGCCAAGTGCCCCACCTTCTTGCAAATGCTGCAATTGGGGAGGGCCTGTCCCGTGAAACAGGTCGCGAAAAGCTCCGTGTCGAGCTCCGCCAGGGATCAGCTTGGGTCCTTTGACTGGGCCTGGCATAGTCCACGACTGCAGAGAAGCGGTACTTCCCGGCTGCCTGTACCATGCGTATTTGATGCTGCATCAGTGCAGCGGCGCAGCGAGGTTGATTGCGGATGGCGATCAGGCTAAAGATAGACCATGTCTCGGTCCACGTGGCAAGGTTCTCAATTTTTCCTTTTGGTGCGCTTGTCACCGAAATTGCCCCTTCCTCGTCTATGCAGAACCTCTTAGGGGCTGGCTCCCCGGTAGAAATAGATTTGGGCGGGAGCAGTATTGCCAGATCTATATACTCGATTCGTCTGATCCGATCGACTGTCTCCAACGAGACATGCGAAATGCAGGAGGGGTAACCCATGTTCGTATGGTGCATGAATTCATCAGCACACATACCGTCTTCTTGGTGCGCCGTGACGTTCTCCGGTGCGTTGCCGCTGAGGGCTGCTGCCACGCTGGCTGCCACGATCTGCTGGATAGACTCCCTTTGTGCCTGCGGGAAAGCCATGGTGGGTGTAAGACTATCGCTGAGAGCGGAGAAGAGACAATTTCAAACAATTTCTGCGGCGGGCAGGCACAGCAAACAACTGGTGAATGTCTTCACTTGTTCCTGCCTTGCGAGGGTGGCCTTGGGTGAGCTTGCACCCAAGGCTGATAGGTGGCTTATACGACATGCCGTACGTGCATCGCGGTTGCGAATGCTTGCGTGGGGCCCCGCGCGGGAGCCCGGCAGTGCGTACGATTTCCAAATATTTCGGCTCAGCAACCCCCCTCCCCAGGAGTACACTGTATGTCAGATGGCTGACCGTACCACACTAAAAATACCATCCGACACCCCTGCATTAACAAACTGCTTCACGGCAAACAATGTTAGAAAGCAGAATGCACAATGCCCTTATAAGGCAGAGCTTGACACACGGTAGGGAGCACAGAAACTGTATTGTGACAGGCTGTCTCACTGTTGTAGCTCGAGTTTGCTTTTGCAGCGCGAGTTTGCTTTTGCCGCTTTTCCATCTACGCAACCTACCGCACGCCTTAACCATCGTTGACAGTTTATTGGTATTCCGCTTGTTCTTGTAGTAATCGCCATGCCAATTTGTTTTCGGTAAAGCACGAATGTTTGCTAAACTCGGTTTTTCCAACAGTTGGCCGAACCCCTCCCTTCCCCCCTCCCCCCTCCATTTCCGCCGATAGCCTTGACAAATTGGTACCGTATTTTACTTGTTGTGTATTGCGCGGTGTACTAAATCCAACCCATCATTACGACGGCCTGCCTACATGAGAGAGCAGGGCACAGAAAAGCAATGTCATGTACAAACATGTATTAGTAGCGGGCATGCAGCCCGGTGGTCGATACGTACGTGATTTAGCGTTACAGTGTCCAGTGTTGTCTCCCTATATTATTATTAAGCCACGACCTCGGGTGTACTCGTATGCTACATACATGTGCAGTTGCGCTTAACTGAAATCTGGCCCAAAGTGCTAAGCTGGCGCCCTCAACCTGCACCGCCCTTCGTTGCCTGGAAGTGGCACGAATGTGGCTGGATGTACACCTGCACCGGCCTTGGTTGCCTGGAAGTGGCACGAATGCGGCTGGACGTACACCTGCACCGCCCTTGGTTGCCTGGAAGTGGCATGAATGTGGCTGGATGTACACCTGCACCGGCCTTGGTTGCCTGGAAGTGGCACGAATGTGGCTGGACGTACACCTGCACCGGCCTTGGTTGCCTGGAAGTGGCAGGAATGTGGCTGGACGTACACCTGCACCACCCTTGGTTGCCTGGAAGTGGCACGAATGTGGCTGGACGTACACCTGCACCGCCCTTGGTTGCCTGGAAGTGGCACGAATGTGGCTGGACGTACACCTGCACCAGCCTTGGTTGCCTGAAAGTGGCAGGAATGTGGCTGGACGTACAAATGTAAATATACAGTGCATGTGCAGATGCAATGATGTAAACTGTGATAGGAACTGCTCCAGGCCGCCAGCTTTGTACTTTGGGTCGGATTTCAGTGAGCACAGCAACTGTAGCATACTAGTACTTCAAAGTAGGTTTTGTATGATGCAGTGCATGTTCTGTTTCAATTCATTTCCGTATTTTTTTATCACTTTTTTTCCACACGGATTTCAGTGCTCCGTTTTGCGAAGACCAGCTCTCCTCCCCTCCCCCCCCCCCCCTTCTCTCTCTCTCTCTCTCTCTCTCTCTCTCTCTCTCTCTCTGTGTTTGTTTCTGTATCGAGGGGCATTCATGCAGTTATGTGATTACAGTGTAACATTCACGTTTCCTTGTAAAATGTGTTCAGATACGAAGTTTGACTGGTACGCAGCTCCTGGGTACCTGGGTTTCTAGTTACCCAGGGCAAATTATCTGTCCAGTTGTACTTGTACATCGTCCAGCCGCTATCTCCAAATACGCAGCATTTTCTTTGAACGTTCCCTCGTTCTAGCATTATCAGATTATTGAGCAGTCAACGTGTGCCTGTGACTGTCAGCGTCACGTACATACACCCTTCGTTTCTTACCGTGTTGTGGAGTCACTTCACTGCATGGTGCACTTGACAATCCGTGTTCTGTGTACCATCATCTCATGTCCTCTCTTGAAGCTTAGTCTCTCTGGCTCTCCAACAGTCACAGAACTGACTGTACATCCACTGACAGCAGCAGCAGCGGCAGTGGCAGCGGAACAAGCCCTGCAGTAGATCTGCAATAAACCCGCGGAACAAGCCCTGCAGTAGATCTGCAATAAACCCGAGGAACACGCCCTGCAGTAGATCTGCAATAAACCCGCGGAACAAGCCCTGCAGTAGATCTGCAATAAACTTGTGCTCTTGGTTCTTGCCATACAGCAAAGGCAAACTGTCGCCACTAGAATGAAGTTCTGAAAAGCCACTGAAATATTCTGCTGCAGAAAAGAGAACATGAAACTCAATCCGTTCGCATTTCCAGGAACGCATCGACTTTCACTGATACGGACACAATTGTATCGAAAATGCTCTATAAGGAATCGAAATTTGTAGTCTCGGCAAGTTTCTATCGACTCTCGTATTTCGATTCTAGCGCAGACATACAATACGATTATGATTGTATTATGATACAATCATGTACTAATACAATGTAGATTTAGATCTACATTGTATTAGTACAATCAGTCATGTAGATCTACATTGTACAGTCATGTAGTTGCAGGTACATGTGCAGCACTGGTCCTTGCGCTTGTCGAACGAGCGGGAATATCTAAGTCATCCAGTCGCAAACAAGATCCTTTGCGGGTGCGGACACGGGGAAATCCCTTGAATCCCCTGCACTACACAACCATCAACCCGCCCTGACTGACAAGTAACGCACGCGCACGTACAGTTCTGACAGGGCTAGGCCTAGGGCTAGGGCTGTCCCCGGGGAAAATTGCGGAAAAAAATCGCAAAAAACGCGGGGAAAAACGCGGCATAATATGGCATAATTTGCGGTGAATTTGCGGTAAATATGCGGTAAATATGCGGTGAATACTATTGATGTGCGCCAATTTTCAGTGAGTATGTAGTGAAATCAATAAGTTACAAGTCTCTGGTGTAAGCACTCGTCATATTTGAGTAAAAAGCCGCCACGATGAGACATTGCTGACCGGACAGTGCACTGTGTGTACGTGTAGTGCAACAAAAAAGTTCAAAAAACGCGGGAATATCGCGGAAAACGCGGTCTTTTAAACAATCGCAAAAAACGCGGAAAAAAACGCGGCCGCGGAATTGCAATTTTCCCCGGGGACAGGGCTAGGGCCAACCTAGGCAAGGGCCCGGTACTGCGGTAGGGGCATCAGATCGACCTCATGAATGAAGAAGCGCCACCGTTCGAGCGCAATGAACAGTGTGTATGTGTGTGCGCGCGCGCGCCCGCGTGCGTGTGTTTGTGTGCGCGAGTGTGTATGTGTGTGTGTGTGAGTGGTGTATTCACCATACAATGTAAGTACAGCTGTAGTGGTGTATTCACCATACAATGTAAGTACAGCTACAGTGGTGTATTCACCATACAATGTAAGTACAGCTGCAGTGGTGTATTCACCATACAATGTAAGTACAGCTGCAGTAGTGTATTCACCATACAATGTAAGTACAGCTGCAGTGGTGTATTCACCATACAATGTAAGTACAGCTGCAGTAGTGTATTCACCATACAATGTAAGTACAGCTGCAGTGGTGTATTCACCATACAATGTAAGTACAGCTGCAGTGGTGTATTCACCATACAATGTAAGTACAGCTACAGTGGTGTATTCACCATACAATGTAAGTACAGCTGCAGTGGTGTATTCACCATACAATGTAAGTACAGCTGTAGTGGTGTATTCACCATACAATGTAAATACAGCTGCAGTGGTGTATTCACCATACAATGTAAGTACAGCTGCAGTGGTGTATTCACCATATTATAATGTAAGTACAGCTGCAGTGGTGTATTCACCTTACAATGTAAGTACAGCTGCAGTGGTGTATTCACCATACAATGTAAGTACAGCTGCAGTGGTCTATTCACCATACAATGTAAGTAAAGCTGCAGTAGTGTATTCACCATACAATGTAAGTACAGCTGTAGTGGTGTATTCACCATACAATGTAAGTAAAGCTGCAGCGGTGTATTCACCATACAATGTAAGTACAGCTGCAGTAGTGTATTCACCATACAATGTAAGTACAGCTGCAGTGGTGTATTCACCATACAATGTAAGTACAGCTGCAGTGGTGTATTCACCATACAATGTAAGTACAGCTGCAGTGGTGTATTCACCATACAATGTAAGTACAGCTGCTGTGGTGTATTCACCATACAATGTGAGTAAGGCTGCAGTGATGTATTCACCATACAATGTAAGTACAGCTGCAGTGGTGTATTCACCATACAATGTAAGTACAGCTGTAGTGGTGTATTCACCATACAATGTAAGTACAGCTGCAGTGGTGTATTCACCATACAATGTAAGTACAGCTGCAGTGGTGTATTCACCATACAATGTAAGTACAGCTGCAGTAGTGTATTCACCATACAATGTAAGTACAGCTGCAGTGGTGTATTCACCATACAATGTAAGTACAGCTGCAGTGGTGTATTCACCATACAATGTAAGTACAGCTGCAGTGGTGTATTCACCATACAATGTAAGTACAGCTGCAGTGGTGTATTCACCATACAATGTAAGTACAGCTGCAGTTGTGTATTCACCATACAATGTAAGTACAGCTGCAGTGGTGTATTCACCATACAATGTAAGTACAGCTACAGTGGTGTATTCACCATACAATGTAAGTACAGCTGTAGTGGTGTATTCACCATACAATGTAAGTACAGCTGCAGTGGGGTATTCACCATACAATGTAAGTACAGCTGTAGTGGTGTATTCACCATACAATGTAAATACAGCTGCAGTGGTGTATTCACCATACAATGTAAGTACAGCTGCAGTGGTGTATTCACCATACAATGTAAGTACAGCTGCAGTGGTGTATTCACCTTACAATGTAAGTACAGCTGTAGTGGTGTATTCACCATACAATGTAAGTACAGCTGCAGTGACGTATTCACCATACAATGTAAGTACAGCTGTAGTGGTGTATTCACCATACAATGTAAGTACAGCTACAGTGGTGTATTCACCATACAATGTAAGTACAGCTGCAGTGGTGTATTCACCATACAATGAAAGTACAGCTGCAGTGGTGTATTCACCATACAATGTAAGTACAGCTGTAGTGGTGTATTCACCATACAATGTAAGTACAGCTGCAGTGGTGTATTCACCATACAATGTAAGTACAGCTGCAGTGATGTATTCACCATACAATGTAAATACAGCTGCAGTAGTGTATTCACCATACAATGTATGTACCGCTGTAGTGGTGTATTCACCATACAATGTAAGTACAGCTGCAGTGACGTATTCACCATACAATGTAAGTACAGCTGCAGTGGTGTATTCACCATACAATGTAAGTACAGCTGCAGTAGTGTATTCACCATACAATGTAAGTACAGTTGTAGTGGTGTATTCACCATACAATGTAAGTACAGCTGCAGTAGTGTATTCACAATACAATGTAAGTACAGCTGCAGTGGTGTATTCAACATACAATGTAAGTACAGCTGCAGTGACGTATTCACCATACAATGTAAGTACAGCTGCAGTGGTGTATTCACCATACAATGTAAGTACAGCTGTAGTTGTGTATTCACCATACAATGTAAGTACAGCTGCAGTGACGTATTCACCATACAATGTAAGTACAGCTGCAGTAGTGTATTCACCAAACAATGTAAGTACAGCTGCAGTGGTGTATTCACCATACAATGTAAGTACAGCTACAGTGGTGTATTCACCATACAATGTAAGTACAGCTGCAGTGGTGTATTCACCATACAATGTAAGTACAGCTGCAGTGGTGTATTCACCATACAATGTAAGTACAGCTGCAGTAGTGTATTCACCATACAATGTAAGTACAGCTGCAGTGGTGTATTCACCATACAATGTAAGTACAGCTGCAGTGGTGTATTCACCATACAATGTAAGTACAGCTACAGTGGTGTATTCACCATACAATGTAAGTACAGCTGTAGTGGTGTATTCACCATACAATGTAAGTACAGCTGCAGTGGTGTATTCACCATACAATGTAAGTACAGCTGTAGTGGTGTATTCACCATACAATGTAAATACAGCTGCAGTGGTGTATTCACCATACAATGTAAGTACAGCTGCAGTGGTGTATTCACCATATTATAATGTAAGTACAGCTGCAGTGGTGTATTCACCTTACAATGTAAGTACAGCTGCAGTGGTGTATTCACCATACAATGTAAGTACAGCTGCAGTGGTCTATTCACCATACAATGTAAGTAAAGCTGCAGTAGTGTATTCACCATACAATGTAAGTACAGCTGTAGTGGTGTATTCACCATACAATGTAAGTACAGCTGCAGCGGTGTATTCACCATACAATGTAAGTACAGCTGCAGTAGTGTATTCACCATACAATGTAAGTACAGCTGCAGTGGTGTATTCACCATACAATGTAAGTACAGCTGCAGTTGTGTATTCACCATACAATGTAAGTACAGCTGCAGTGGTGTATTCACCATACAATGTAAGTACAGCGCTGTGGTGTATTCACCATAAAATGTGAGTAAGGCTGCAGTGATGTATTCACCATACAATGTAAGTACAGCTGCAGTGGTGTATTCACCATACAATGTAAGTACAGCTGTAGTGGTGTATTCACCATACAATGTAAGTACAGCTGCAGTGGTGTATTCACCATACAATGTAAGTACAGCTGCAGTGGTGTATTCACCATACAATGTAAGTACAGCTGCAGTAGTGTATTCACCATACAATGTAAGTACAGCTGCAGTGGTGTATTCACCATACAATGTAAGTACAGCTACAGTGGTGTATTCACCATACAATGTAAGTACAGCTGTAGTGGTGTATTCACCATACAATGTAAGTACAGCTGCAGTGGGGTATTCACCATACAATGTAAGTACAGCTGTAGTGGTGTATTCACCATACAATGTAAATACACCTGCAGTGGTGTATTCACCATACAATGTAAGTACAGCTGCAGTGGTGTATTCACCATACAATGTAAGTACAGCTGCAGTGGTGTATTCACCTTACAATGTAAGTACAGCTGTAGTGGTGTATTCACCATACAATGTAAGTACAGCTGCAGTGACGTATTCACCATACAATGTAAGTACAGCTGCAGTGGTGTATTCACCATACAACGTAAGTACAGCTACAGTGGTGTATTCACCATAAGATGTAAGTACAGCTGTAGTGGTGTACTCACCATACAATGTAAGTACAGCTGCAGTGGTGTATTCACCATACAATGTAAGTGCAGCTGTAGTGGTGTATTCACCATACAATGTAAGTACAGCTACAGTGGTGTATTCACCATACAATGTAAGTACAGCTGCAGTGGTGTATTCACCATACAATGTAAGTACAGCTGCAGTGGTGTATTCACCATACAATGTAAGTACAGCTGTAGTGGTGTATTC